ACTTTTAATGAAGAAACTAATTTCACAGCAAATGAAGTGATGCCATGGACTTGCAATCATGTAATTCTCAGGGTTTAGCACAGGCCCCACGACACAGAGCAGCTGGTAAAAGACTGGATGGCCCACTGGAAACCGTCTCCTACAGGGGCAGGTTCTGCCTTAAAGGTTGCAGTGTCCGTTTTGCATGAGTCTCTCTCCTCAATCACAACTCCTGGCCCAGGAACCAGGTGTAAAATGGAGTTCTGCTCTTGAGGTCTTGGTTTTTAAAGGAGGAATGCTTCTGCCAGGGGACAGAATAATGGATTGCAAATGAAGTCTCACCAGGCCATTTGGGGCTCTTCAGGACACTGACTGGGGAGCATTAGGAGGGGAAACCTGGGCACAAGTTCCCTCACAATAAGAGTAGTAAGGACCATAGCTGAAACCCAGAGAATCCTCGAGCAAATATGAATGAAAAACTGTAACGAAGGCTGCACAATTCAGACCCTTTAGGAGTAAAGGTGTGAATCAACCATGTCAAATAAAGAATGCTGACCAGCTGAGGTCCTGGCTGAGGGCCAGCAAATACAGTGAGGAAGTGGACAAAGAAATTATAAAACACCAGCTCCAGCCTCGTGATTATAAAACACCACATCCTTCCTCGATGCACACGGCAGCTCCTCAAGGGGCTACACGCAACAATTTTCTTTCCTCAGTATTTCATGCAAGTTTTGCTGGAAGCTAATTTATCCTTTAATCTTTATTTATTTTTTTTTTAAATATTTTTTATTGATTTATTACAGAGAGGAAGGGAGAGGGATAGTTAGAAACATCAATGAGAGAGAAACATTGATCAGCTGTCTCCTGCACACCTCCTACTAGGGATATGCCCGCAACCAAGGTACACGCCCTTGACCGGAATCAAACCTGGGACCCTTTAATCCACAGGCCGATGCTCTATCCACTGAGCCAAACTGGTTAGGGCTACCCTTTTATTTTTAGGTGTCATTGTTATTCTACATTCTCTTCAGATGAGACTGTGACTGAGGAATCAACGCAGCCCAAAGGTCCACAGATTGCTGAGCTCTGCACTTCCTGTTTGGGGAGAGGATAAAAACATACTGCGAGTAATTATATCTTGAGCAGAAAAAAAAAGAGTTGCTTTTGTGGTATTATTAAAGTTCAAATATGTGTAGAAGGGTGTGCATAGATGCTGAGTGGCTACAGGGGAGGACTATACCAATTACTGAGCTCTTTCCTCTCAGCCTCACCTGTTTTGGGGATACTGGGCATAGAACTGGGCAAATATCCTGCTTTGCCAGCTGGCATACCTTGGGTTTCTCTAGCAGGATGCCCAAGAGGGAAGACTCGATGCTGGAGGGAGAGAAGGACTATGCTCCTGCTCCCATTGGCAGGATTCCAGCCCCATTCCTTTGCCTCTGCAGCAGCAATGTGTTCCCACAGCCAAGCCCGACTGCCATGTCTGAGCTCAGAACCAGCTGCATTCGTACCCAGACACCAGCACGTTGGGCAGCATCCACACTCAGAGGCAGCACTTCTGGATTTGCTGACTCCTTCATTTTTTAGTATTTTCTTTTTGCCCTTTTAGTTACTGAGTAAACAATCCTATCATACTATAAACATAACTTGCAAGGTTTCTGTCTTCTATTTGGACCATGACACATAGCAAGGAAATGTCTATCTACTGAAACAAGGCCTCAAGACTGTATTGTTTCAAATCCTTTAGACACAATAACCGAGGCTCTGCAAATTTCATTTTCTCTTGGTGTTCCCATGGGCGTTGGGCATCCGTACACCCCATATGTCCATCTTTGGGCTAAGCTACTGAGTCTAAATCAACATTCCAAGCCTAGACTGGGAGTGATTTCTCACTTCAAAATCTATTTCCTGCCCTAGCCTATTTGGCTAAGTGTTCCAGGTTCGGTTATGGTCGGGGACACATGCCTGGATTGCGGGTTCGATCCCCAGGGGAATGCAGGAGGCAGCCAATCAATGCTTCTCTCTCATCATTGAAGTTTCTATATCTCTCTCCCTCTCCCTTCTTCTCTGAAATCAATAAAAATATATATTAAAAATATCTAATTCCACCGAAACCGGTTTGGCTCAGTGGTAGAGCGTCAGTCTGCGGACTGAAAGGTCCCAGGTTCGATTCCGGTCAAGGGCATGTACATTGGTTGCGGGCACATCCCCGGTGTTTCTCTCTCATCGATGTTTCTAGCTCTCTATCCCTCTCTCCTCCTCTCTGTAAAAAATCAATAAAATATATATTAAAAAAAATATATATATATATATCTAATTCCTTGAACTTCCTTCCATTCCAATATTCCTTACCAAAAATTGAGAAAACTAACCACATTTTGGTATTACAAATGTAAATTGTGTTTTGGCAGTGATTAATACCAATGAGAGAATATTTTAATAACATAGTTACGATACTGACACTGTCTGCACCATCCACATACTCTGTCCTGGGATGCACTTAGAACAAAGACCTGTGCACAGATTACCCACTTCCCTTGTATTGAAGAGGCCACACCCAGTTCTTGCTGATACTTTCCATTTATTACTGCAGTAGACAATTGCTCTGAAAGTGCAACACTAGATCCCTCCTGCCACGGCTTCTGCTCCTCCGCTGGCAGATCCTTGGAAATTCATTCTTAGAGCATGCGGATCATAAGCTTCTCTCTAGGTAGAAACTTATTGCCGCTGCCAATGTCACAAGGAAAACACAAACACACACAGGAATAGAAAGACAAAATGAGAAGAGAGCAGGAGAGGAGTAGGGGCCAGTTTCGAATGGCAAACTCAGCAGAGGGGTCTTGGGAAAACAGCCCGCCTGTGCAAAGTGGAAAGAGACTCCCCATATCCCAGCAGCAGCGTCTACATTTGTTAGGTGCACCCTTCCCCGTGCCTCTAGAAACCGTAACCGTGTCACGTCTCAGCACAGCAGAGGCCTATGGAGTCAGAAGTGAAAAGACCTCTCAAGCCAGGCTGGAGAATGGGTGATTTGGATAAAGTGACTCTTTAAGCTCCAATATGAAGCTGTTAGGCAGAGTATCTGGAGCGCTCTGAGGGTAAGATGCTGCCTAACAAATAACTCTGGTTTGACCTAGCATAGGGTCAGCCTATTTTTGATGAAAGAAAATTAAATTTCAAAAGTGGAAGGGAGACATAAGCAGCTCTGGAAAATACAAGAGAGTAAAAGATCTGAACAATGAGACAAAAAAACAAAAACAAAAACAAAAGCTAAAAGAATATGGACAATATACCTAAGCACTGGGCATGACAAATCCCTCACTCAAGAACACTTTGCGCACACCCACCCACACAATAGTCAGGTAGATGCCCAAAGGAGGGCAAATCCAACTGTCTGCTCTCTTTGGAATATCCATGGCAATTCTGAGGTTAGGCCGAAGTAAAGACCTCCCTGGGCCTACAGACCTCAGGGGGCAGCCTTTGCCCCCCATTTTAGCCATGTTGCTCCTATGTTTGTTTGCCTGAGCCCTTCACAATGGTCCGGGCACTAGAATTTATTCTTCACATTCCTGGAGTTTAAATCATTGCTAGATCTTATCCGATCTAACTTCACCTATAACGGAAGCACCTCCCTTTGGCCCCTGTACTCCTGTTCTTTTAGGAAAAAACATCCCAAAACAGTGGCAATTAGAGGGTGTTTAGGAGTTGAAAAGTAGGAGAGTAATATAAATACAATAAGGAAATGCCTGTTACTTTCCTATGACTTCTCTGAGACCAGGCGGCTAAGGACCCCTGGTCTACAAGGATAAGTTTTAGGAGAGACCTTAATTTAAGGTACTTCGATCTCTGCTCACAAGAGCCTAGTAAGACAGTGCTCCTTGGAGGTTGCTGTACGATTGGTACTCAGTACTTATTTCAATCCTAGGTGCTTCTCAGCCTCTCTTGACTGCAGTCCTTCTGAGTCAGATGACCCAGCTTCGCTGATGCACGCCCGATCATTTCTGAAGCATGCCTGCAGCAGCCTAACATATGCCAGGTGAGGAGGACTGAAAGCAGGTCTCCAACCACTGCAGACAGGCACAGCCTTGCAAAGAAAGCCATCTATCGTGGTCACCTTTTCTTCAGTTGTCCCAGTTTCAGGATCACAGAACTTACCATACTAAGTATTAATACCTGGCAAAAACCAGCTTTTGCTTCTCTTCCTCAATGAGGGGTGTGCAAGAACCCACAGAAACAGGCTGCACACACAGGCCCTGACCACCTGGGGAAATGATTTCAACACTGCCTTCAGCTCCAAATCCCACACTCGGAACCTCTGCTAGAATCCTGCTCCTGACAAACCGGATGCGGCTCCAGTTTAGTTTTCAGTCACCTTCTGAGCCGCCTCAGGGGACGTAGAGTAGCCACCTGGATTATAGTTCTAAGTGCAGCAGTGCCTAAGAGGAAAGAGTCCCACACGAGGGAAGACAGAGGGCATAAGGCAGGAGACCATGCAAAATCAGTAACACATTTTTAGAAGGTGGTGGGCTTGGGGGAAGAGGGGAGCAAAATAAACAAAACGTCCCAATAATTTAATGGCAAAGCTAGAAGAGCATTTACAGCTATCCCGGGACCTCCAACAAAAATTGTTTCCTGGATGCACAGACATTCGTAATACTGACAAGTCTCAGTGGACAGCTCTGGCTGGTACACGTGGTTGCGACACCCTTTGTACAGTAGAGAGGAGCATGGCAGAGGGCCTGTGAGGCATCTCGACAGCACACAGCAAAACGAAAGGCTAGACTTCCCCCCACAGTAACCCATTAAAAAAAAAGTGTGTCTGTTACAAAGTCACGTTTGCCATCTTTCCACTTTATAAAGTCAGCGATGCTGGAGGGTGTCTAGCAGAATCCATCCTCCAGGAATGAGTGCAAAAGGGACGTCCCTTCAGTAAGCAGATGGAAGGACCAGCTGGAGACCTCCCATTCATTTCGGACAAACACACACATACTTAAGGAAAAGGATTATTGCCAGCTTGTGTACGTTCACAATGTGATTTTTGTATTTCGAAAGCTTGAATTGTCCCTGAAAGAAAAAATGGAGAAAATAGAGCATTCAATACACGGATCATCTATAGGCAACACACACACACACACACACACACACACACACACACACACACACACACATGGGAGACCTGAACTAAGCAGCTCTGGGGCCCTCATGACCATGACACAGTCCAGGACCCTCCTTCCTACTAATCTAATGCCAGCATAGCAACCGGCTTCCCAAGTTCCTTCATACACTCCAACTCAACTGTGCAATAGCAAATGGCTAGAAACTACCCAACTGCATATCAACAGGGGGTCTTGTTAATATTAATGTAATGGCACATTCATACAATGGGACACTGTGTAGCTTAGAAAACACAAGGAAGCTCCCTACTAATATGGAAAGATCTCCAAGAGAAGTGGATAAGTTAGGATGCAGGACAATGTGTGCACACAGTATGCTACCTTTTATGAAAGCGGGGATGCGGAAACTAAGGTCACATTCACCTGTATATATAAAAAGCAACTCTGTAAGGCTCCATAAGAAAACAACAGCAGTGACCTGGGGCAGGGGAAGGGAAACAGTGAAAACTGGGTAGACAGAGTCAGAGTGGGAGTGAGACCTCTCTTTTTCTTAGACACACACATACTTAAAAAAAAAAAAAAAAATGCTTATATTATGCATTAAAAAAAAATCAACCAACCAAACAACCTTCCCCAGGTTCAAAACTTATAGCAACTTAAAAGGGATATTCCAAGAGGTGAAACTTAGCTTAATTCTTGAAAGAGAAGCATGTATGTGTGTGACAGACAGACTGCAAGATGTGTCCTGTCAGTTGCCTTCAATTGGCTGCAGACTATTTGTCATCCACTAGTACCCACCCTGCTCCCAGTAGAAATCCAATGACATCTCAGCAGTTCACATTGCCATTTGAATCTGGAAACCTAAGGGCTGGAAGGGGCACTCAAGATCACCTTACCTTACCTACTGCTGTGGCCCAGGGCTTAAGACTTAAATTTGTATGAAACTTTGAAACAATAACCTGATTTTAAAATCAGTATTTCCCTTTAACTTTAATGAACATTCTAAAAACTTTGGTTTTAACAGGCCTGTCTTAAAATGACTACAACTGATTGGGCATAGGGAGAGGTTCAGATGAAAAAATATGCTCGGCCCAACCAGGCAGCAAGCAGTTTTCTCCCACTATCAGCGGATTGGTTCTCCCAGTGCTGGCCAGGCTGACTGTGACTAATAACCCTCACTACATAGAGCGTGACTGCAGACAGTACACAGATAGATGGGAAACTGGAACTGGTGTGAGCCAACTCAGGTAGGAAGAGATTGATGTTATCTCTAAACTCACTGGTGTTTTTGTAACTGACAGGCATGACCATGTAGCTCATTTATCAACGGCTACTGAGCACTTCAATGATTTCTAAGGAGTTGAAGGTTTAACACAAAGAGAACTTAATGAGATGAGCAACTATTTTAAAAGGGCAGACCCTGCCCTAGCTGGTTTGGCTCAGTGTCAGCCTTTGGACTGAAGGATCCTGGGTTCGATTCCAGTGAAGGGCACATACCCAGGTTGCAGGCTTGATCCCCAGTGAAGCCCATGAAGAAGGCAGCCAATGAAGGATTCTCTCATCACTGATGTTTCTACCTCTCTTTCCCTCTCCCTTCCTCTCTGAAATCAATAAAAATGTATAAAAATAGCCAAAACCGGTTTGGCTCAGTGGATAGAGCGTCGGTCTACAGACTGAAAGGTCCCAGGTTCGATTCCGGTCAAGGGCCTGTACATTGGTTGTGGGCACATCCCCAGTAAGGGATGTGCAGGAAGCAGCTGGTCGATGTTTCTCTCTCATTGACGTTTCTAGCTCTCTATCCCTCTCCCTTCCTCTCTGTATAAAATCAATAAAATATATATTTTTTTAAATGTATAAAAATAAATAAAAAGACAGACGCCACTGAGGTGCCAGAAATAGCTAGTAAATGACAAGGAATGTACTTGATCCTAAGACAGAAAAGCAAACATAACTAATGTGTGTGTGTGTGTTACTTCTGAGCCCTCTGGGATGATGTGCTGTAACACTTAGTCTACACGACAGAAGACACCACTAACAAAGGAGTAGTTAGGAAGGAATGGTTTGTTCTGTTTCATCTCTTATTTTTTTAAAAATCTTTACCCAAGAATATTTTTTTCTGTTTTTTTTAGAGGAGGGAGAGATTGAAGGAGGGAGAGAGGGACAGAAATGGAGAAGGAAAGAGTGAGAGAGGAAGAAAGAAACATCGATGTGAGAGACAGATCAATTGGTTGCCTCCTGCACAAGCCCTGGGGATCAAGCCTGTAACTGAGGTACGTGCCCTGGACTGGAAATCAAACCTGAGACAACTCCAGTCCGTCAGCCAACACTCTAACCACTTAGCAAAACTAGCCAGGGCCCTTCTCTTCCTTTTGATGCCACCTCTATTCCCATTAAGCAACTGGATGACAAAAGTCAAGGAGCAGGGAGAAATAAGATGAGTGACTAGAAAGGCAGAGAATTTTCTGACTATGGGAGAATGATCTATCTTGGAGTAAGAGAGATGACAGACAAGGGTCTGAACGAACCCTTTCAGCTGGTTAGTGATGTAAAGAAGAGCATTTTCAAGATGTCACCATCATAAGTAGGTGACCATCTTTTGAAAGAATTCCTGTAGTGTACTGGGGTTGGGGCTGAAACAAATTCTTCTTTCTGTGGCAGGTAAACTGTAAGAGCTCCATAACAATTTCCCATTTAGATATTTAATACTTATTCTAATTATTTATAGTGTCATAGATCTCTTCAGAGTCAGAAAACCCAAGACGTTATAATCATGCTAAGGTCTGAAAAGCGGAAAAGGGAAGGAGAGGAGTAAAAAGCCAGGAGAATCAGCTGTTTTTCCAGTCTGATACAAAGGATCAGAAAGAGCAACAGGATGGGTGACAGGCTCCTGACAATGACAGGCTGGTGGCAGTTGGCACTGGTCTAGCCTTCTAAAACAAGTGGGCTGAGAACAGGCTGGTGCCAAATTTAGTCTGAGGAATTTGTTCACCTCAAACCAGTTGGGAGCTGATCTTCTGTTCGTCCCTCAGTTCATCCCTCACCTTGGCTGCAGTAAACTGAGAGATTAAAAGAGGGAAAGGAAGAATGGAGACAGAAAACGGCAAAGGCCACAGGCGACTTTTTGTTTTCTTATAAAAAGATGGGCTTTTGTTCTTTTAAAAACAAACTAAAATTTATGCCGAAACCGGTTTGGCTCAATGGATAGAGCGTTGGCTTGGGGACTGAAAGGTCCCGGGTTCGATTCCGGTCAAGGGCATGTATCTTGGTTACGAGCATATCCCCAGTAGGGGGTGTACAAGAGGCAGCTGATCGATGATTCTCATCATCGATGTTTCTAACTCTCTATCTCTCTCTCTTCCTCTCTGTACAAAAGCAATAAAATATATTTAAAAAACAAACAAACAAACAAAAAAACTAAAATTTAGAAAACCCAGCAAGAGCTCCTGATAGCTAGCCCCTCCCGCCACCTGCTGGGAAGGTGCGTGGGCTAACAGAAAGTTCTTATTGTTTTTGATGTAAAAGATCTTTTAAAAATTTACATTCTCATCTGTGAACTTAGTAAAGGGGCTTTCAGACATCAAGATTTCCACTGTAGCCCAACCAGTATGGGTCAGGGGTTGAATGTTGACCTATGAACTAGAGGTCACGGCTTGATTCCTGGTCAGGATACATGCCTGGGTTGTGGGCTCAATCCCCAGTGGGGGGCATGCAGGAGGCAGCTGATCAATTATGCTCTCTCATCATTGATCTTTCTCTTTCTCTTCCTCTCTAAAATCAATCAATCTATCTATATTTTAATATATATACTTTGATTTTTTTTTTTTTTTTTACACAGAGAGGAAAGGAGAGGGATAGAGAGCAAGGAACATCGATGAGAGAGAAACATTGATCAGCTGCCTCCTGTACATCCCTCACTGGGGATGTGCCCACAACCAAGGCACATGCCTTTGACAGGAATCGAACCCGGAACCTTTCAGTCTACAGGTCGATGTTCTATCCACTGAGCCAAACTGGTTAGGACAAATCTATATATATATTTTAAAAGATGTCTACACTATCCTAACTCATTCCAGAAGATTTTTACATGCCAGGACACGGGACAAGGAAGCCAAAAGACCCACAGTGCCAAAGGGACCCTTTGTCTACTGGATGACCCTCTATCCTGATGACAGGGCCTCAGAAATAGCAGAACTCCATCAAAATTGGCTTCTAACTTCACATTTGAAACAGCTTTCTAATCTACTCTCAAAACAATCACCTTTTTGTACTTCTACAGAAATGGACAAGTACAAACTCTGCAAAGAATGAGCTAATAAGGTATTTAATTCCTGAGGAGGAAGCACTGGGGAGCAGGGTAGTTGGTTCCTCAGAAAAATGCCTCCTGCTCTTACAGAAACCTGCCTGTGTTGTTGCCCAGCAGGGGCACCAAAATGATTCTGGTCCTTTAGGGAGCCAACTAGGAGAAGCCCTCCCTGAGTGTCTACTCTGATGGGGGCTCTGAGAGCACAGTTACAAATTGGGCTTAAGTATCCACACTCTTCAAGGGAACATTCCCTGGGTATGTCCAACCTAGGTGAGCTCGGGCTCCCTCCTGCATATTAAGTAAAACTGCAAAGGTCCTAGGTGCAGTGGGGCCAATTTCAATGTCTAATCTCTCACTGAGTGAGCACACCAGCTTCATTTCCCAAAAATACAGATCACTGTTCTGTGCCTGCCAGCCCAGGCACAGAAGTAACCAGAATCCTCTCCCAGCAGCTGACGGGGACCTCTAAGTGAAGGCATGGGGAAGGGCAATACTGATTTTAATGGGGTGTCAAATTGAACAGTCCTAAAATATTAGCAACCATATAGAATGGCATAAAATATCAGCTAGAGGAAAAGTACTTGTAGTTCAATAATAATTTATTTAAATAGCAGTTTTTATTCCTTCACAGATCATGATCTACTTGG